AGCAGTTGAAAGTACGTGCAGACAAAAGGATTGTGTAGTAACCATTGACGTCAAACAAGATGGCCGACTACAATGGGTGTAAAATAAAATGCAAATACTAGGTAGTTAAAAATATTAAGTAAGCGAAAAGTAATATCCCTTGTTCTAGAAATACAAAGGATGAAAAGAGACAAGATGGCTGACTAAATCTTAATGTCAAAAGAAAGACGTCATTGCTTAAAGAACCAGCTCAGCAAAAATTATTTTCCCACTCAAGGACAATACGCTTTGGTGAGTTTGCATGCAAATTCGTTTCAAAGGTCAAGGCGGCCTTTTGTTTCAACCTTAATAAACAACGGTGAGTTAGCCACGAGCCTTCATTCACTTCAAAGTGTCTTAGAGTGTTCAACGCTTATTGCTCTCAACGAGGTAGAAGTGTCTGCTACTTGAGTGATCGAACGATGGAAGGTAAGATTGAGTTCGTTCTTGTATAAACCAATGTGAATGAAAGGTAACGTGAAGAATGTTGGAATGGTAGCTCATGGCTTTTATGTTCTTTTGTAGAATTTATGAACCAAGATTCAAGGTTAGTCAACGCGGTGGATAGGAACATTGAAGGTAAATAACTGTTAGTCTAGTAGTAACATTGCGTAAAACAAAGTGAACTGTATTGGAAGCAGGTTAAGACTTTGAGAAGTACAGATATTGTCAGCTAAGTTAACGAATTAATTTGTGAAGCGAACTAGAGTTGATGGAGCATTGATGAATTAAATTATCTTGTAAAACGTTTGGAGCAAATTATAATATAAAAGCCAAGGTAACGCAGTAGAATTAAATTGTGAAGTGAACTAGGGTTAACGCAGCGTGAATGAAGTCAAATATCTTGTAAAACGTTTAGAGGAAATTATTAACATGGTAGATGTCAATATGTAGAAATGAATTGACCGTAGCTAAACAAAGTAAAGATAAGCAGAGTATTTATTTAAGCGGAAAGACATAATTTCCAGGTCGAAGTAACACAAACAAGTAGAAGTCGAACTAGGATTAACGTAGCGTGAAACAAAATCAATGTAGGCTAAACGATAATCACGAACTCAGTAAATAAGAAAGTTTCTTTGCAAAATTAAAAACAGAATTATCGTAAAGAACCTAGCGTTAATGCAGACGTTTCGTTTTATTTTTTAGTTTTAACCAATCAAGACAATGATGATTTACTGCCTGCTCATCACCGCGTAGAACGGAATGAAGAACCAGTGGAAATAGAAGCATTGGGTAGTGACATTGAAGGTAAATCAGCTTTTTACATGTCTATTGTTAAGGAAAGAGAAATAAGTCGATGAGGGCAATGTAGGCGTGTAACCGAAGCGACAACAACAGAGACGAATGGTCAAGCAATAGACACTCAAACCAGGTGTAATGGAACGTAAAGATTCCCGCGTAAATGCAGACCTTTCGTTCAAGATAACTAAATAGACACTCGAACCAGGTGCAACGGGGCGTTAAAGATTCCCGCGTAAATAATTTTCTTTTATAGAGGTTAAGTGAAATAAAATAGAAGCTCGAACCGGGTGTAACAGAGCGTAAATTGTCAAGTAGAACGCAAAAGTACAATCGTAAACTGTGAAAACAACCAAGCGTTAATACAGGCCTTTCTTGTGTATTTTTTATAGCCTTATTGAACGATGATGATGAGGCTCTGCTCTCTGCCTTTCGCCGTTTTGAGCAACGTGGGGGTAATCCACTGTTTCGCGCTGAATTTACGCCCGTGGGAAGAAATCGATCATTTAGAAGCATAGTTTCCCAGCGGAAATTTAAACTCACCTTCCAGCAACTGAGGGATCCTCAAGAGGAACCACTAGGGGAAGCACTCACGGAAGCCATCGTTCAGGGTCTGCGAAGGCTGGTAGCCAACGAGGGGTTTAATGTCAGGGACTATTCCCTTTTGATGGCCGTACATTCAAATTCATTCACTCATGTATGGTCGCAATCTGCCCGACATGTACCTTTAGAAGTATGGCTTAATAATGAAGATTACGCCCGCGCCTATCTAGAAGATTTGGCCAGAAAACTAAACTCGGCGGAAGTCATGGACCCCCATAGAGATGGGTTTTTTGTGGAATTGACCTTCGTTAAAAACCTGGGTGTTGGTGGAAAAAATGGGGGCAAACAAGGAAATCCTGGTCGCCATGCATGGGAAAAATTGGCGAAGAAGAAAAGATGTGTCATAAGAATTAAGAACCATGACAAACTCTGCTGTGCCCGGGCCATTGTGACCGTAAAGGAAAAAGTGGACGGGGGCTCCCACTACCAGAATTTAAAAAACGGAAGACCGATTCAAGAACGATGGGCAAGACAATTGCATCAAGAAGCGGGTGTTCCCGAAGGCCCCTGTGGGTTTGAAGAATTACAAAAATTTCAAGACCATCTAGGCCCACAGGGGTACCAGTTAATAGTCGTAGAACCCTCCAAATGCCTAATTGTCTTTAAAGATGCTACATTTAATGACGCCCCTCACTTCATCGCCCTAGTCAAGCATCAAAACCATTACGATGGTTTAACATCCATCCCTGCCCTCATCAATCGGTCCTATTATTGCCGGCATTGTGATAAGGCTTATGATCGTGAGGACGCCCGCCACCATAATTGTCTTGGTCAGAATTGTCCTGCCTGCTGCCGCGGAAATAAGACGTGCCCTAATTATGCCGCATGGATCAAACCCACTCTTAATTGTCCCCATTGCCACTGTTTATTTTATGGTCAAAATTGTTTTGATGCCCACAAGATGAAAGAAAAGAAGAAAGGGACCAAAAGCTTGTGTGAAAGTTGGCGAAAATGTGTACACTGTTCCGCCGAGTATGCTGTCAACCCCAAGAAACCGCATCAATGTTTCCACGCCACCTGCCGAAATTGCGGTGAATTTGCTCACGTCCACCATCGTTGCTATATCCAGCCTGTCCAACCAAAAGAAGACACCCCTCAAGGAGATCCTTTAGAAAACCCCGCGGCTTATGTAAATGATGATGACGATAATGATGATGATAACGAGAAACGAGGCCCCCCACCCCCTCCCCTCTTAAATTTCGCCGATATAGAATGTTTTACGACCGAAGACCGCGTGTTTGTCCCGAACCTCATTTGTTGGTCCACCCAAGAAGACGACCAGATTCATCATGCCGACACGATTGAAGAATTTTTACATGCCTTAGAAGACCTCACAGAAGTGGAAGGAGATGAAAGACCACGCAAAGTCATCACCTTCTTCCATAACATGCGAGGCTTTGACGGAAACTTCGTTTTAAAAGCACTGTATGACCAAGGACGAGCGGTCGAAAAACCTCTAACGCAGGGCGCAAAAATCCTTTATTTTGAGTCGGGGAACTTGATCTTTAAGGACTCGATGAATTTCTTTGCCATGGCACTTGAGAAATTTCCTGCTACTTTCAATCTTCGTGAGCTCCACAAAGGTTTTTTTCCTCACGCCTTCAACCGTGAAGAAAATTTTGAGTATTCTGGCGAGTACCCCCCAAAAGAAGATTACCATCCAGACGAAATGGATAGTAAGAAGAGAGACAAGTTTCTGGCGTGGCACGCCCGCAAAGTCGCCGAACAAGCAGTGTTCAACTTTCAAGAGGAGCTATTGAAGTATTGCGAAAGCGATGTCAAACTATTAAAAGAAGGGTGCTTGAAGTTTGTGACCGAGTTTGAAGAAATTGCCGGCTTCAATCCTCTCGTAGAAGCAGTCACGATTGCCAGCGCCTGCAATCTCTTCTGGCGACGAGAAAAATTGGAGGCCGATCTCATTGCCTTAGAACCGCAAGGTGGGTGGCGTGGAAACCGCATCAATCAAAGTAAAATCGCTTTGGAATGGCTCTATTATCAAGATCATCTTTTGGGAGGGATGGGGCGTGTCCGCCACGTGCGCAATGGCGGGGAAGTGCAAGTCGGCACCCCAGGCGAGATGGTGTACGTGGATGGCTACGACGAGACCACCCATACCATCTTTGAATTTTACGGCTGTTACTATCACGGGTGCCCCCGTTGTTTCAAGCGGCAACGCGATGTCAGAAGAAATTGCCATGCAGACCGTACAGTCAATGAAGTGTATGAAGCCACCGAAAGAAAAGCGGCCATGTTGCGTCTGTGTGGTTACCACGTCGTAGAAAAATGGGAATGTGAATTTCAAGAAGAGAAGAAGACTGACCCTGCCTTAAGAGCGTTCCTAGACGACTTGGACATGGTCCCTCCCTTAGACCCACGAGACGCCTTCTATGGGGGCAGAACGGGGGCTGTCTCCTTGTACGCCACAGCAGAAGAGGGAGAGAGCATCAAATACTGTGATGTCACGTCCCTTTACCCCTGGGTAAACAAATACAAAGAATACCCGGTTCGGTTCCCGCTGATCTATACCAATCCCTCGGACCAAGAGATCGATCATTATTTTGGCTTGGCACAAGTCGACATCTTGGCCCCGCAGCATTTATTCCATCCCGTACTCCCCGTCCGGGCTGGTGGTAAACTCACCTTCCCCCTCTGCTCCGCCTGTGTTCGCGAAGAACAGCAAAAGCCCTGGCTGGAAAGAACCAACCTGTGTCCTCATACAAATCAAGAACGGATGCTGAGAGGGACGTGGGCTACCCCAGAATTGCAAAAAGCGGTGGAGCTCGGTTATCGTATCGTTAAAATTCATGAGGTGTGGCATTTCCAAGAAGAGGACAGACGGGTGGGGCTCTTCGCAGATTATGTCAACACCTGGCTTAAAATCAAGCAGGAATCGGCGGGCTGGCCGGACGAGTGTCACACACCAGAGCAGAAAGACGCGTACCTCCGTGACTATGAAGAGAAAGAAGGAATTCGTTTGGAGCAGGTCGCCAAGAACCCGGGGCGGAAACAGGTCGCTAAGATGATGCTCAACAGGTGAGTGTTTAGTGTAGAAAAAGTCTGCTGATAAGAGGTATAAGTTGCAGACAAAGTCTGCACTTAAGAAGCAAGGTCTGACATGAAACGACATGCAACCGTTTTACTAAAAAATACAAGGAAATGTATGGAAATCATGCAGAAAAAGTCTGCAAATAAGGAGCTTAAGTGGCAGACAAAGTCTGCAAGTTAACAACCTCCTTTTAATCGGTTTGTCTATTTCTTTTTCTCTCTTTCAGCTTCTGGGGCAAATTTGGCGAAAGGCAAAACAAACCACAGACACACGTCATTCAGAGCGCCCATCAGCTTTACTCCATCCTGAACGACCCCTCCTTCAACATCAGTGCCGTCCGGATCTGCTCCGAAGAAGTCATGGAGGTGGTGACGACCCGAGCCGACGAAGAGGTGGAACGAAGCTTGAAGACCAATTTATTTATTGCCATTTTCACAACAGCACATGCCAGATTGAAATTGTACTCCGCGTTAGAAACATTACAACAGCGAGTGTTGTATTATGACACGGATTCGGTCATATATAAATGGCGCCCAGGGCAGGTAGAAATTCCCTTAGGTGTGTTTTTGGGAGAATTCACGGACGAAGTAGAAGGTGACCCCATCATAGAATTTGCCAGTGGGGGTGCGAAAAACTATGGGTATGAAACCAGGGGAGGGAAAGTAGAATGTAAGGTTAGGGGATTTTCACTGAATTACAAGAACAAACAAATTTTGAATTTTTATACTCTCCGTGATAACATTTTGAAAGAACTCGATCAGCCTCAATCATCTAGGAGAGAAATGTCCTTAGTGGATGAACATTTTTTTCACAGAGACCAGACCAACAAACGGATTCGTTTGATAGAACGTGAAAAGAAATATGGTCTGGTCTTTGACAAACGAGTGATCGACAGGACCACTCGCCAGTCGTATCCTTTTGGATACTCTCGTATTCAAGACGAGGTCGACTTGCTTTTGGAGTTGTAAATAGTTTTTCATAACCTGTATTGTAAATAGGAATAGGTCTGCTTAGTGGCGCCATTCGAAGTGTTGTAACATTAAATCGACAGGGAGGTTTAATGTAGAAATAAACTAAGTTCGCAATACAATCTCTGTGTTAGGTTATTGTTGTGGTTGGGTATAAACGGAGGGATGAAAGGGGTAAGGTCGTATTCCAACGTGTACCATGACGGACCTGTTTTTAACCCTGTTGAGCGATGTCACCAGTGACTATGCGAATAATGAAGCCAATCAGTTTAAAGTCAAACGATCCCCCAGCTTGTATTTACCTGGATCAGGATGGAAAGTCTCGATTGCCCATGCCATGTTACGCAAGATTTCCTTATTCAAAGTGTCAATCCGATGGGTGGAAAAAAGGCTATTTCAGAGCGGCCGATTTACGCAGGTGAGAGAAAGCAGGGACATGTCGCGATGGGGTGGATTTTTTCAATTCCCTTAAACCCTGCTCAACTTTCAGTCCGACAGTCAACGTGTGATCTAGTTACATTTTAGAGAAGGTTAACACGAGACAGAGACATTGTGTGCACACTCTTTGTTTATTGAAATAAAAAAACACACGCAGATTACAATTTGAGTTTTCTCTTGGCTTGCATGATTTTCTTGACGACTTTCT